CAAGTTGGTAAGAATCTTAGGCCGTTTCTATTTGCAGATAAGTACATTGAGCCCCAGTGACGTAAAGTGTGATTCAAGGTCAATAACAAAACCAAGCACACAGGGCTACCTCCTTATCTTTCAAACATAACACACTGCCTGTCTTAAATTTATTGCGTAAGAATAAAGAATACAGGCATTATAGCTTACCCTTCTAACTTCCTTAATGAATAATCCCAGTCTGTTTCTTAAGTGTTTCCTCAGGGTAACTTTGCCACATTTACTTCTTTTCTTTTTTTTAAAGATGACCTTTACTTCTTTTCTTTTTTTTTTTAAAGATGACCGGTAAGGGGATCTTGACCCTTGACTTGGTGTTGTCAGCACCACGCTCTCCCAAGTAAGCCACGGGCCGGCCCTCACATTTACTTCTTGAATCTATGATTCTTAAATGCTACATGATGGATCTTGGACATGACTGACGCCATTGTGCGCACAAAATAGCCACCAGCCTTGTCTTCTACTCCAGCACCCAACCCCTCCCCACTTCCGTTTATGAGAAACCTCGGGACTTAAACAGAAACCCTTTTGCTTCTGCAAGGGCTCAGTACTCCACCCTGGTCGCATAGCTTCGGCATTAGCATAACGCCCCTCCTTGATGGTATCAGCCAGCCCTTAGTGCCCTATAAAAGCTCTCTCACCCCCACATCCGAGGCTGTCCTCCATCTTGAGGGCAGCCCTGGGATGCCCGCCACTTTGAGCTCAGCCCAGCAGATTCTTTTCCTTTAATAAAGCTTGATTGGTACCCGGCATTTCAGCTCACTTTCTTTCATTACGGTGCCTAAACCTGGGAAAGGTATTGGCTGACATTGTTGGACGATCCCCACTTGGGTTGACTGGCCCTTAGCAGCCCTTCCCAAAGCTGCCAAACTGGGTACACTTGGGACTCTATCCTTTTGCTGTTTCAGACCAGCATCGAATATTGGCCTCAATTCAGGGTGAGTCAGTCGGTCAGTCCTCTCTTGCCTTGGGTTCTCCTGACTCGCGTGTGCAAAGCCCAGGTGCCTGGCCGAGGGAACCTTTCTCGTGCCCCCCACCTATTGGAGGACGCTCCTCTAGCCAGTTGGTGGCTTCTCGTTTGAAAAGAAGATGCGCAACAAAGAGGGTGCTCTTTGTTGGCATTCTTCTACCAGGACTGCCCATTTCCTTTCTCACCCTCTGAATGGGATCCTCATAATCCAAACCTCCATGCTCTATGCCTCTGGGCCATCTCCTGGCCAATTTCTTGGCCTCCAGGGAGACATTAAACCTAAACATCTTGTTTTCTACTGTACTCTGTGCTCTAGACCTCTGGGCTATCTCCTGGCCAATCTCTCAGCCTCCAGGGAGACATTAAAACTCAAATGCCTCATTACAATGGATCCCAGTGGCCACAAGATGGCACTCTCGATTTAGATACTCTCCTAGACAACTTTTGTCGCTGAAACAGCAAGATGGAGAGATTCTTTACGTTCAAGCCTTTTCCTCTATCTTCCATCTTGTCCTTCTCTCTCTGTCAAAACTTTCCTACGTCTCAAATTCTCCTGGCTCATGCCCAACCTCTCTTTCTGGACTCAGATTAATCTTTTAATCCATCAGACTACTCTGCTCCCTGTATGGGCCACCTCGACTACCTCTGTATGCTCCAAATCCTTCACCAGCCCCTTCACCTTTCTCTCTCTTCATCCTCAGCCACCCAAACCCCCTCTTCTTCTCCCCCTTTTCAGGTAACAACCCTGCCTCAGTTCTGGCTCCTTTACACTCCCATCCATGAAGTGGCTAGGACAGAGTGAACTATCCGGGTACATATCCCCTTTTTCTTTCCCATCTCGCTCCCAAATCAAAAAACAACTGGGATCTTTCCAGTCTGACATGGACACATACCTTACAGAATACCAGTCTTATGATCTCACCTGGCATATTTGTATGATTCTCACTACTACTTTGTCCCCTGAGGACAGAGAACAGGTCTGGATAACAGCCCAACAACAGGTAGATGAGGTACCTGCTCAAAATAACAGCCAGTGGGAGCCATTGCAGTCCTTTGCACAGACCCAAATTGGGACTACCAGGCTGGCCGCAGGGATCGGGATCTCCAGGATAACATGATCACACACCTACATCATGGCCTCCAAAAGGCTATTAATTCCTAACCCACCTCTCTGAGGCTTTACATAAANCAAGTTGGTAAGAATCTTAGGCCGTTTCTATTTGCAGATAAGTACATTGAGCCCCAGTGACATAAAGTGTGATTCAAGGTCAATAACAAAACCAAGCACACAGGGCTACCTTCTTATCTTTCAAGCATAACACACTGCCTGTCTTAAATTTATTGCGTAAGAATAAAGAATACAGGCATTATAGTTTACCCTTCTAACTTCCTTAATGAATAATCCCAGTCTGTTTCTTAAGTGTTTCCTCAGGGTAACTTTCCCCCATTTACTTCTTTTTTTTTTTTTTAAAGATGACCGGTAAGGGGATCTTAACCCTTGACTTGGTGTTGTCAGCACCACGCTCTCCCAAGTAAGCCACGGGCTGGCCCTCACATTTACTTCTTGAATCTATGATTCTTAAATGCTACATGATGGATCTTGGACATGACTGACGCCATTGTGCGCACAAAATAGCCACCAGCCTTGTCTTCTACTCCAGCACCCAACCCCTCCCCACTTCCGTTTATGAGAAACCTCGGGACTTAAACAGAAACCTTTTTGCTCCTGCAAGGGCTCAGTACTCCACCCTGGTCGCATAGCTTCGGCATTAGCATAACGCCCCTCCTTGATGGTATCAACCAGCCCTTAGTGCTCTCTCACCCCCACATCTGGGGCTGTCCTCTATCTTGAGGGCAGCCCTGGGATGCCCACCACTTTGATGCCCAGCAGATTCTTTTCCTTTAATAAAGCTTGATTGGTACCCGGCATTTCAGCTCACTTTCTTTCATTATGGTGCCTAAACCTGGGAAAGGTATTGGCTGACATTGTTGGACGATCCCCACTTGGGCTGACTGGCCATCAGCCGCCCTTCCCAAAGCTGCCAAACTGGGTACACTTGGGACTCTCTCCTTCTGCTGTTTCAGACCAGCATCGAATATTGGCCTCAATTCAGGGTGAGTCAGTCGGTCAGTCCTCTCTCACCTCGGGTTCTCCTGACTTGCACGTGCGAAGCCCAGGCGCCTGTCCGAGGGAACCTTTCTCGTGCCCCCCACATACTAGAGGATGCTCCTCTAGCCGGTTGGTGGCTTCTCATTTGAAAAGAAGATGCACAACAAAGAAAGTACTCTTTTTTGGCATTCTTCTACCAGGACTGCCCGTTTCCTTTCTCACCCTCTAAATGGGATACTCACAATCCAAACCTCAATGCTCCATGCCTCTGGGCCATCTCCTGGCCAATTTCTTGGCCTCCAGGGAGACATTAAACCTAAACAACTTGTTTTCTACTGTACTCTGTGCTCTAGACCGCAGGGCTGTCTCCTGGCCAATCTCTCAGCCTCCAGGGAGACATTAAAACTCAAACGCCTCGTTACAATGGATCCCAGTGGCCACAAGACGGCATTCTCGATTTAGATACTCTCCTAGACAACTTTTGTCACTGAAACAGCAAGCTGGAGAGATTCTTTACGTTCAAGCCTTTTCCTCTATCTTCCATCTTGTCCTTCTCTCTCTGTCAAAACTGTCCTACGTCTCAAATCTCCTGGCTCATGCCCAACCTCTCATTCTGGACTCAGATTAATCTTTTAATCCATCAGACTACTCTGCTCCCTGTATGGGCCACCTCAACTACCTCTGTATGCTCCAAATCCTTCACCGGCCCCTTCACCTTTCTCTCTCTTCGTTCTCAGCCACCCAACCCCCCTCTCCTTCTCTCCCTTTTCAGGTAACAACCCTGCCTCAGCTCTGGCTCCTTTACACTCCCATCCGTGAACTGGCTAGGACAGAGTGAACTATCCAGGTACATATCCCCTTTTCTTTCTCATCTCTCTCCCAAATCAAAAAACAACTGGGATCTTTCCAGTCTGACATGGACACATACCTTACAGAATACCAGTCTTATGATCTCACCTGGCATGATATTTGTATGATTCTTACTACTACTTTGTCCCCTGAGGACAGAGAAAAGGTCTGGATAACAGCCCAACAACAGGCAGATGAGGTACCTGCTCAAAATAACAGCCAGTGGGAGCCATTGTAGTCCTTTGCACAGACCCAAATTGGGACTACCAGGCTGGCCACAGTGATCGGGATCTCCGGGATAAGATCACACACTTACATCATGGCCTCCAAAAGGCTATTAATTCCTAACCCACCTCTCTGAGGCTTTACATAAATACACTCGAATAGACCCAAACTCCCCTGCAGGCATGGCCCTTTTACACTACCTCCTCAATGCAGCTTTCTAAGTTTTTAACAGTAGACAGGAAAAAAAAAAAAAAAGGATTATTACAGAAGAGATCAGGACAAATACGAGCTCCTGGCTAACACCACCTGAGGCTCACATACCCCTAAGCTGGCTGCCTCTAGGGGCAAGCCACCCAGGAACTGCTTCAAATGTGATCAACTGGGCCACTGGGCATGGGCCTGTTGTAACCCCAAGCTCCCTCCTGGGCCCTGTCCTCACTGCAAACAGCCAGGTCACTGGGGGGATTGACTGTTCCACTCTCCAGAGAGGGAGTGGCCCAGTCCCCAACCCACAGCCTTTGGCTTCACGGCCATCCCTACTGAAGCTACTTGGCTTCGCCCAAGAGGAGAACTGATGATGCCCAGGGCCTGAGACCCCCACAGAGACCACCATGTGAGCCCAGGGTAACTCACCTTGAAGCAGATAAGCCAATCATCGATACAGGGGCCACTTACTCTACCGTTCCTGAATATGCAGGACCAACAAGCCTATCCTCTATCACAATAGTATGGGTCATGGGATCAGAATACTACCCATGAATCACTCAACCCCTTTCCTGCACCCTATTCCACACCTAAATTTTTAGTAAGCTACTCTTACCCTAAACACTTTAACTCCAGCTACTATGCTCCTGTTACAGGCCGCCCCAGACCTGGGCCCTGAAACCTCTATCCTCCCCTTTCCCCCTGACAAAGTTAATCCTATAGTATGGGATACCTCCTCACCCTCCATTGCTACTCATCACCCTCCCATCTTTGTGGGGCTGTGGGATCCTTCTTCTTCCCCTAATGTCCCACAATACCCCATTGCTAATAAACACCTAATAGGGTTAAAGCCCCTTATAAACAAACTCCTTTCTTCTCATCTTCTATAACCTACCCACTCGCCTTTTAATACACCCATCCATCCAGCTATAAAGCCTAACAGCTCATACAGTTTAGTACAGGACTAATCCTGACACACGCTGTTCCCAACAACTTACTTGGACAGTTTTACCCCAGGGACTTCGGGATAGCCCCCACTTCTTTGGCCAGGCCTTAGCTCAAGACTTATC